ATATATATATATATATATATATATATATATATATATATATATATATATATATATATATATATATATATATATATATATATATATATATATATATATATATATATATATATGAAATATGGGCTAATAATAATTTAAAAATGTGATTAAATTAACAAAGAACAATAAAAATAATCAATTAATCATATAATAACAACAACAACAATAACAACAATAATAAAAACAACAACAATAATAATAATAATAAATAAAATTGCATAATTTGGTAATCAATAAAGTGGAATTAAAGAATCAAAGTAAATATGTTTAATAAATGAATATGAATAACGAATAAATAAATAAATAAATAAATAAATAAATAAATAAATAATTAAGTAAAGTAGAGATAAATAATGAAGTAAAGCTTCTTGGCAGGTTTGACATTGGCAAATTCTTTTTAAATAATATAGAAATATAAGTATATAAAATGTATTTAATATGGAAGTATGGGCTAATTCCTGAGCTAATAATAATTTAAAAAAATAATTAATTCAATAAAACAACAACAACAAAAGTAAAATAAAATACAATCTATTTAGAAATCAAATAATTAACAATTAATTTAAGGAATTAAAAACAAATAAATGAGTATACAAACAAACAAGCAAACAAACAATCAAATAAATAAATAAATAAATGTCAATTAATATGAATAGATTTTTAACTGATAATTTTTTTTTTACTGAGTTTAAAAACTTCCAATTCAAAAATGACTTAATATACTTCTCCTTAATAAAATACAAATTTATAAATACAATAAATACTGGCATTGCTTCCGCTCTGTGTAAAAAATATGTAATATTGATAGAAGGGTTGTATAAGATTGCGTAATATTGTTGGTCCATTGTTGATGACTTTTCAGCCTGACCAAAGACAAACAAAATATTCTTTGCCATTAAAATAATAATAATAATAATAATAATAATAATAATAATAATAATAATAATTATTATTATTATTATTATTATTATTATTATTATTATTATTATTAAATAGTTTAACATAAATAAATAAATACAAATCAAATGAAAATAAGCTGCTTTTGTTTGTTTTATAATGAAATAAAAGCAAAGAAAAAGAAGCTAAATAAAATTACATTTGAATAAACAAACAGATAAACAAAATAATTATACTAGGTATATCTAAAATACCAAAAATAAACAATTAGATACAACTAAACAAATTAAATCAACAAATAAAATCAACAACAATCAAATAGAATAAATGAGATGTACAAAGCAAATAAAGTAAAACAAAAAATAAACAAATACAACTGAAATTCAACTTGAAATAGAGAATAAATAAAAAAAAAATAAAAAAATAAATAAGCAAGCAGATAAAAAAAAACAACCAGACACAAATATTTCAATTATGCTATAAAAAATATAAAGATAAAATTATATTAATATAAAGCTACAAAAAAACCTAAACACACACATATAATTCTCCTACATATATATACACAACACTAATAACCTTAGCTTCTAATTGCAATACAATAATGTGCACCCATTGTAAAGCTGCTTTGAAACAATAATTATTGTGAAAAGCGCTATACAAATAAACTAGAATATAATTCAATTAATTACATATTGTGTAAAAAAAATATTCAAAACAACCTTTAAACAAATAACAAGCATTTCCCAGCAGCAGCCGCCTTTTCATTTTAAAAATAACACATTTACAGCCTTCCCAAGAGGAAAAAATACCATTTATTAACAAGCCCCACAAGAAAAAAAACTGAAGTTTACAAGAAATCTTGCACTCTTCCAGATGCGTGTGAGATCCGTCCAAATATCCCAATTTCTCCTTACCAGCTAAAAACAGTCCAGCTGCAAGGCCTTGTGATTTTAATAAATCTAATCGCTGTCTTTATTGCGCATTTATTGCAGGACACGATGCAAGAAAACAATGTGGCGGGGTCCGCTTAACCTGATTCTGGGCTTATTTGCAGTGTCTCCTTTATCTGGTGGTGTTTCTCTATCTAATAACTCTGGCTTTTGAGAGTGGCATTATTAGCTTCTCTGTTTGTTTGGGAGGGAACAGATTAAGCTGTTAGTAAAATAAGCCACTTTTGGCAGATCCGCTGCAACAAATTCAGGATTTATTGCAATTTGGCTCGCTGTTTTATATTGGAGTCAGCTGAACAAGACAGAAGAGTTTGAGGAGCCAGCGTGATGTACAGTTGAAGTGAGAATTATTAGCCACTCTGTATATTTTCCTCCAATTTCTGTTTAACAAACAGAAGATTTTTTCAACACACTTCTAAATATTAATTGTTTTAGCTGATTTATTTTTTCATTGCCATGATGACAGTAAATAATGTTTGACTAGATATTTTTTCAAGACACTTCTATACAGCTTAAAGTGACAATTAAAGGCTTGACTAGGGTAATTAGGTTAACTAGGGTAATTAGGCAAGGCATTGTATAATAGTGATAAAATATTGCTTAATGGGGGCTAATGATATTGACCTTATAAGAGTTATTAAAAAAAATTAAAACAGATTTTATTCTAGCCGATATAAAACAAATAACACTTTTTTTCCAGAAGAAAAAAATATTATAAACTCTTAAGTTAACCTGGTTTCATTTTTTTTTTTTAAATATACAAATTTAATGTGTTTTATTGATATGAGTTGAAATGGCTTGCAAAATATATTTGATTCAACTTAATTTAAGGCAGGAACCAATTCTGCAGTGTTTGTGTGTGTTTATATGTGTGTCTTTGTCTGGAATAGAGGTTACAAATCTACTGTACATAACTACACTAAAAAATGCTATAAAGTTTACAGTATTACTGCCATTTTTGGTTCCCAATAATAATGTACAATTTACAAGTGCACTGCAATTATAATTGCAGTGCACTTGTAAATTGTACAGTATTATTGGTGAAAGTGATTTCAACAGTAAAAAACTGTAAAAATGCTACAGTACAAATCCGTAACCTGGTTAACGGTATGTTTCCTTAATATATACGGCGAATAACTGTAAATTGACTTTCCCAGAATTCCCTGCATGGCACATAATTTTTTTATGCATTTGGTTGACATTAATATGGATCTATTTAGTTGTTTCCCCATCAGTTATGTACATTAGAGATTTACGTTACATCTAATGTTGATAAACACTGTTTATTTCATGACTTTAATTTTATGTGTGTTACCATACTGGTGTTTATAGCTGTGTGGATGACACTGAGCACCCTCTATATGCTGATACTCCCTTCTGCTTGTGGGAGAAGTTGATTGTGATGAACATTGACTCATTATGTAACTTTCTCATCACTACCTGAATGTGGGTGTGCTAACATGTCTAACAAAAGATGTGTAGATGTTGATCATTCAAAATACAGATCTATTACCTCTATAAATTAAAAAAAATACGGTAATTAAAAATGAAAAAATTACTTTTACGGTTTGTACCGTGTTTTTAACGGTGGCAACCACAGCTGCTGTTTTTTTACCGTAAATTTTACAGATTTATTTTTTACAGTGTACTCTGGTTCTGCAATTTTTACAGTATTACTAGCAACATTTACAGTATTACTGGGAAATTGCACAAGCACACTGTACTTTACCATATTACTGAGAATTTTTTCAATATTAGTGACAAAATTTACAAGCACTGTAAACTTTATAGTATCACTTGCACATTTCACAGTATTACTGGCAAAATTTACAAACACACAGTCAATTTAACAGTATTACTGGCAATTTGTACAGTACTACTGGCACAATTAACAATATTACAGGCAAAATCAACAAGCAGACTGTACATTTTACAAGCACACTGTAAATTTACAGTATTACTAGGAACATTTACAGTATAACTGGCAAAACTTATAGCATTACTGTCAAAAGTGCAAGCACACTGTAAATTTCATCAGCACACTTTAAATTTTAATGTAGTACTGGCAACATTTATAAGCATACTGTAAATTTTATAAGGCACACTGTAAATTTACAGTATTACTAGGAACTTTTAAAGTATTACTGGCAAATTTACAAGCACATTGCAAATTTTACGAGCACATTGTAAATTTTAAAGTATTACTGGCAACACTTTTAAGCATACTGTAAATTTTACAAGCACACTGTAAATTTACAGTATTACTAGGAACTTTTAAAATATTACTGGTAAATTTACAACTACACTGTAAATTTAACAGTATTACTGGCAAAACGTATAGCATTTCTAGCAAAAGTTACAAGCACACTGTACATTTTACAAGCACACTGTAAATTTTCTAAAGTATTACTGCCAACATTTATAAGCACACAGTTAATTTTACAAGTACACTGTAAATTTTACTGTATTACTGGCAAAAGTTACAAGCACACTGTGCATTTTATAAGCACACTGTAAATTCTAAAGTATTACTGGCAAAATTTACAAGCACACTGTACAGTTTACAAGCACACTGTGAATTTTACAAGCACAATAAATTTGACAGTATAACTGACAACCACAATTGCCAGCAGCAATGTCAATTTTACAGCATTGTTTTACAGTATAAACACAGGTATAAGAAGGAGGTGCATTATGAGGACGCAACTTATCTCAAAAAGAGTTTTTAAATCATAAAAAATGACTTTTAGAAAGTAAAACATTTTTCAGT